AACGTTTTTCGGATATGAGATACATTTCTATTGACATTTGTCTTTATATGCACCCTATTTATCATTTAGCATAACTTTTCTAATTAATTTCAACACTTTTTGCACAAGTATGTTTTTCTTCTGCATCTGAAATGGGACATCCAAAACAAAAGATACTTTATACAAAGATAGTTCCTTATAGTTAATTATAGTTTAGTAAAGTAACATTTTTGTTAATCAAAGTATTTTACATTATCTTTAAGATTGCTTTGTTTTATATTCTCCAATTCGTACAATCATGGTCATTTTTTTTTATTTAATGGATTTATTTCATTTATAGTCACATACCTCTAAATTTAGCACCACTGTCATGAAGTTTAAAAAATTTAAACTTTGAAATCTCAAAACATATTCTAGAGTAAAGTTATATAGGGAATCAAATTATGAAACAAATGAGACAATTATCAGCTGAAGTGGTCAAGAAATTGATTTCTGACAATAACTTCAAATGGTATCATATATTATGGGACACCCTGTACTATTAGTTACACAGTCAGTTAGTGACCAAATACGGATTCATAAAGGGTGTGAAATGGAAATCCGTATTGGGCGAGGCGAAGCCGAGTCCCAATACGGATTTCCATTTCACACCCTGTATGAATCCGTATTAGGTCACTAACTGACTGTGTTACGAATTTATCCCGCTGAAGACCTTTTTCAATATAAAAAAAATTATTTGTGCATATTATGAAAATATTAAGTTTTAATCCAATAAAAATCAACATAAAATATCGTTACGGTAACAAGAAATTTAACTAAACTACCCAAATAAACCGTTTCTTAGCCGCCATTTTTATTTACAATAAAAACGCTTCGAACGGAATCGCGCGCCCGATTTTCATATTACGCCTCGACGTAGACGTACAGTGCTGCTATCCCACAAGTTGACATGGGATGGGATCGGATAGGATTCAGGATTGAGGATTCACGATAGAAACATATAGAAGTTAATCCAATCCTATCCTATCCTATCCTATCCTGTATCCTACAGCCAATCAGATTCGAGCAAAGGTTCATTCATATTTCAGAATAAATTACAAAAACGAAATACGATATAAAATGTTTACAAAAGAAATATTTATAAAATTTCAATAGAAAATAAAACATTTTTTCTCAAAACACAGATTTACATTATAAACTTCGAGTAACACGGCGTACGATCTAACCGTGAACGATCACCGGAAGATTTGGGAATGTAAACAACGAAGAGTCCAGACATCGAAAGACCGTATTTCTTCAGCTTGTTTGGATGATTTAACCGATTCTTACTTTGAAAAAGTGTTCTAACATGTTTTCTGTTAAATATGCTCTGTTTGTTTGGATAATTCCACAGGAACCGTCAACAGCGGACTTGAATAGATGATGTGCGAGTTCATGTAAGTATACTACACACTGTACACCATGTACACTGTACATGTTTGCATTTTTATACTTATTTATCCCTCAAAACAATGTTCTCTTGTCTTAAAATATAAACATTTTATTCTATTTAATATAAACAAAAATTAGTTGCGGAAAAAAGAAGTAGTGTAGACAGAAGGGGGGATAAAATATTTACAAATACCCCCGTTACTCTGTCATATGATTCAATTAGCTATCAGTGAGCTCTAAGACTAAAACAATCATATGTATTATGCCTTAATCAGTTTATTAATCTTATTATTTCCTTAATTCTTTCATTTCAGTGTAACTTATAATAAATTAATTTAGAATCATCATGACCATTTCTAATGCTACTGCTGAAATGTTTAATAAGCTCACTCAGCAGTGCACTTACATATTGTACATGTATGTATGATGTATTGTGAGTTATGAAACATAAGTTAATCTTTTAATATTCATTATTACAGTGATGGATTTGCCTGCACTCATGCGTCATCATGTGTCATCACGGTATAAAGGATTTTAATCTAAAAAGTATGTATGATTTTATTTTTATCATGTATTTTTAAATGGTCATTCAACTATATAAACATCATTTTCTGCTTTGAGGTGACATGTCTGCAGTTTTTCGGAACAAGTGATTTTCTTCTTTCAAAAATCTTGAGAGTTAAACTGAAAGAAATGTTGAATTTTTCTGGTCATCATGTTCCTGTTACATAGATATTTTCTTCTTCTTTTACATATTCAAATTTCAAGACCAAAAAAAAAAAACCAAGAAAAAACATTAAATAGATAAATACAAAGAGAAAATAGAGAAAAGTCATTAAAACAAATGTATTCATACTTGTTAGCAAGTTGATAAGATAAAATGAATTATAATGTACAAGTAAATTATCTTAAATAAGATTTTTCTCTTAATTTTATATGACTGAGGTTGCAGTATAAGATTTTATTTTTCATGATTTCTAAATGCATTATTTTTTTTTTGAGAGAGAAAAAGGTGAAATTAAAGCCAATTGTACATGAAATGTGAAAGATAATCACAATCAAAAACATTTTAAATGTGTATGAAATGTGTATGACAAAATTTACAATCTACATGCCTTTAATTATGTGATTTTTTTTCAGGAAACCCTGCAGATTTGCAGCTGTGCAGTATGCAGTTCATGCCATATGCTGTTAGAGTAAATGATGAAAGATGTTCAAACCAGTGTCAAAGATTCCTTAGACTGAAATCATGGTGCTTTAATTAAGGAGATCAGTGTATGTTTTCTGTGCATTGTTGACATTTGTGGAACTGTTCAGTTTATGACCATCTCTCTGACAATAACTCTGACATTTGAATTTCAATTTGAGCGTCGAATAAGAAAGTCAAATTAAATGCATGTAAAACATTATACCACGGTTATAAAAACATTGATAAACTTAAATTTAAACAACGTTCATGTACATGTATCTGTGATCTTTGAATTAAAATTCATAAATGCGGTGTACATGGATACTTTTAATGACTTTGTCTCATGGTAATGGAATATTCAATTGTTAAACATTGTTGAGGAACCACCTTGAATAAAAATATTGTGTACTTGATAAAGTTTTTTTTCTCATTTCAACACTGATAATTTTAAGATCAAATGTCAAGGTCAAATAAAAGGTTTACTCAAGAATGTGTTATACATACTGTGAATTCTTATGCATGTTTATAAGATCTAAGGAACATGTGTGGAGCATTTTAATATTTTTCAATCAGACACTGATTAAGATTCAAGATCCAATACCAAGGTCAAATACAAACTTGCTTTACTCAAGAATGAGTTATAAATACTGTAAATACTGTGAATTCTGAATTTCTCTAGCATGTTTTCTAAGATCTTAGGAACATGTGTGACCTCACTGCAATATTTATTTATATTATACTTTCATGTAAATTACTTGAATCTGACTCTTCGAGAAACATTTGATAAAAAACACTACTACCTGCTGATAATGAAGCCATGCCCTCCTGCGTAGCAACAGTCAACATTGCTTGACGACGGGTGGTATTACAAAGTATAGTGACTGCGCGAAATTTATGCGCACACGGTTCACTGTAATATGTATTTGTATAAAACATTCAGTATAATATAATAAATATTGCATGTAGTTGATTGTAACATTAAAAATTTTCACCCCCTCAGAAAACCATTGTCAACCTCGGCTGCGCCTCGGTTGACAATGTTACACTCAACTACATGCAATATTTATATACTGTCAATCTGTCAACCAATATCAAATTTAGAAAATATATTCTATTAAACATAGATTATTACCTTTTCACACATAAAACAAAATAGGAAATTGAAATAATTTGTACGGCACTGAGCTGACCATAAAGTGAGAAGAAACTGAAGTTAAATGAAAAAAAAAAAAACATTTCGATCATCTTGAATTTTATTTAGCAACTATATATTTTGCATGTTTGAAAAATATCACATACGACAGATGATGAACTGAAATTTTAAAAAAGAATAAATTATGAATTTAAATAAAAAAAATCATACATTTAATATTTGATATTATAAGACAATTTCACATTTAAAATGTTTAATATGTGAAAGTCAAAATATTCTAGATCTACATTTTGACTTTGTCTGTTTGGTTTATTGTCTAGTCAGATCTTCTTTTTGAGAATTGCATACAGAAAAACCTGTTATGCAGGCACAGTTAGACTATAGATACATGTACATGCATGTTATTTTCATGGTGTTCAGTTTAGAAAAAAAAAATACATGAAACATATACTTAAACATTTTTACCGTATAGGCCTATGATTTTTAAAATTAATTAATCATAATACGCCGGACGCAAGTCGCGATCCCGGTTCTCCCGATCATTGTTAGTAGGAAAATTCAAACACTAAGTATATATTTTTTTCTTTAATTCTTCTGGTAGCCCAATTTCTTTACATATGTTCACACAATCAGTACTTGTCCACGTGTAATTACGACCTGTTTGTTAACATTTATTTTTAATATTTTAAATAAAATTTAATTTGTGCGGGGAGTCGGGAATTATGGAATGCCGATCTCGATTATTCTTTTTTTTCATTAAAATTTATAACATTTAAACGAATACCATAACTATGTCTGATTTTTTTTTTCCTGGTAATTCCCTTTTTTTCGTTTTGTCAAATTAATTCCTAAATATTAAAAAACTGAGAGTTGCAGGATAGGATAGGATAGGATTAGAGTGAATTCACAGGATAGGATTGTGGATGCAGGATTCACGATAGGATAGGATAGAATTGTCAACTTATAGGATAACAGCACTGTAATACGGAAACGGAGACGTAATACGGAAAATTTCAGGGCGTCACGTGATTCGCTTTTATCCAATCAGTAATCGACAAATTTGTCTAAAGCGGGATAAAGTGTAATATTTGTATAGGGATAGAACGTACAATCATCAACCGATCAATTCAGCAGAATTGTGATCCTAAAACAGTTTAAACATAAATTTAAAGATCAATAAAATGAGAAAATAAAGAATAGTTATCATTCTAAAAAAATGCCAAATAAACAATTCAATTTCTGAGAACTATGAAAAGAGATTTGGATCAAGTATCATGGAAGAGTAAGCATCTCCTGTCATTTTTTCTTGATATTGGGTAAACTGAAGAAAAAATCATAGACAACTCAGTATTATTGCTAAATGATTTTTCTATTATTTTACATCCATTCCGGATATCTTTCATTATATGTTAGCGAATGGCATCAAATTTATAATCATTATTCGTTACTCATAGCAATTGAACAATGATTAATAATTTTCTTGAGAAGGCCTTCAGTGACACGAGACTTGAAGTTTTAAGTTCTTATACGATAGATTCGTTTTTCCCTCACGTATGGTGCCGTGAGATTGAAGGGTCTACTAGTTACATTTAAGTTAGTTCTTTCACAGGGCGGCGTAGAAAATTGAAAATAGATCTCCGGAACATGTAGCGAGTGTCGTGCTTCTAGGCTACTATGACCCGTCATCCAATGCAGAAATAAATGTCGGACAATTTGTATGAAAGACGCCTTTCTACATTTGATCTAAGGACAGTTACGTAAAAATTAGCTTGTATTTGCAAACTTAAAGCATTGCTAAATTTCAGCGTAAAATACAAATCTTCAAAAATATACACATAAATTTATATTCAATATAATTCATTTTTATTTTTGACAAAAACTTGGAAACAAAAATATGGATATAGCAGGCTTGGGGCGAATTACATTGTAAAGTAATGCATTGTTGCAACCACTATTGAAATAACGACCACTATTGAAATAATTATATCAGTAGTGGTTGAGAGTGCATTTTAATAGCAAACATAGTTAGTAACCACTATTGAAATACGACCAATATTGAAATAATTATATCAATATAGGTTGAGACTGCATTTCAATAGCAAACATAGTAACCACTATTGAAATACAACCACTATTGATATAATCATATCAAAATTGGTTGAGAGTGCATTTCAATAACAAACATAGTTAGTTACCACTATTGAAATACAACCACTATTGAAATAATTCTATCAAAAGTGGTTGAGAGCGTATTTCAAAACAAGCATAGGTTATAACCACTATTGAAATACGACCGCTTTATAAATATTTATTTCAATGGTGAGAGAGAATGCATTTCAATATAATAACCATAGGTTTCAACCACTGTTGAAATCGTAGCACTATTGAAATAATTATCTAATAGTGAAGAGTGCATTTCAATGTGATAGATGTAACAATAGGTTTCAACCAATATTGAAATACGACCAGTATTGAAAGAAAAGTTTCACCGCGTAATTTTTAATTTTTTATCCAAATTTCACAAAAATCGGATTTGGGGTGAAAAATATATAGATTAATGATTAAAGTGTATAAATTAATAAGGATGGTTTTAGTTTTAGCAGATTTTTGAATATCAAAAAACGGTTACAATTTCTTTATATTCTAGAAATTTATTATTTGCATCATTTTCAATGAAATCAGACGAAAAAATATATACCAATCCAGGCATCAATATTTTGTTTGAATCATCTGTCCTTAAATGAAGATTTAGATAGTTATTGAAATGATAATTTCAAAAGTGATTTAAATAATTATTTTTTTGATATTTGATAGATAATACTTACTAAAGTATTAAGCAAAACTAAAACCACAATTTAATCCATATTGAAATCTTTATTTCAAAAGTGAACATAATTTCAATAGTGGTTGCAACCTATGTTGTTATTGAAATGAATCTCACCCACTATTGAAATAATTATTTCAATAGTGGTCGTGTTTCAATAGTGGTTATTATCTATGTTTGTTCTTGAAATACGCTCTCAACCACTATTGATAGAATTATTTCAATAGTGGTTGTATTTCAATAGTGGTTACTAACTATGTTTGCTATTGAAATGCACTTTCAACCACTATTGATACAAGTATTTCAATAGTGGTCGTTATTTCAATAGTGGTTGCAACAATGCATTACATCACCATTACTTCAACAATTAGGCATTAAATTACTATTACCATTACACTATTTTTTGAAAGTAATGCATTACATTACCATTCCTTAAGTAAAGTAATGCATTACTATTACCATTACTTTTGGAGGATTTTAAAAAAGAAATACAAAACTGTGCATTTTTTTCGTAAGCATGCATCCACCCCCCTCAAAACTAAACATGGTTAATGATAATTCAAATTTGATTTCAAGTACTTGAATATATTACACTGTCAATAACTTACATTCATAAGAAGTTCAAACTTTTAAGTTATCAGTAATATAAAACATATACAAAATGCACGTTCTGTGTAATTATAGATGCAATACAGCAATTTGACTTTTGGGGCACTTTAACCCCTGCCTAAAATATCTTATAATAAAGCATAGGCTGTTTTGATCTAGTGCCTTATGAAAAAAATAAATGCATTGGCAAACTTGTAAAAAAGGTAGATAGTTTGTACATTTTGCTCCGCTAAGCAGAGAATGCCTGCATGTCTTCTATTTTCTTTGGTACAATAGGTTTTTCATGGTCAGTTCAAGCTAGACCAGCTCAATTTATGTTTTATAAACACTGTATGAAAAAAGGGACTGGTAATTTGGAGCACTTCTCCAAACAATGCACTGTTTAATTGTTACATAACCCAGAGGCATAGTGTGTTTTGATGACACTCTAGCTATTCAAATGGTGGCAATTATCAGTTTACAGTGGACAGTAATTTAATAAGTAATAATAACTCTGAAATCAAATCTTACTTAAGATAAGTTTGATAACTTAAAATGTAAGGTAAGTGTACTTTCAACAGAATATAAAGTGTATTTAAAAACATTCAGAAATTTTTTTTAAATGGGTTAACTTTTTTCATTCATATTTATCATTTGCAACAAAAAAATAGATAAAAAATAAAATAAAATAAATAAATGAATAACCTTAGCAATAATTTCCATGTCCATTTTGATTTCTTAAAATAGGTATACATACAAAATAATGCTTTGTAATGCTATGTAATGCAAGCATTACATTCAATTTTATGAAGTAATGCATTACATTACCATTACATTTAATGCAAATTTTTTGACATTACACATTACTAGCATCACTTTGATTTTTTGTAATGCATTGCAATGCATTACCATTACAATTAGCATTACCCTAAGCCTGGGATATAGTATACGTGATCTAAAGGGAAATTATGAATTTATCGTTTTTATCGAGCTTTATTCAGAAATAAGACAAATTTAACTTTACCAGCGTAGATGAGTTAAGTACATTGTAAACAATATTGAACAAACTTTCTAGTTAAATCATCATAGTGAGAAAGTTTTCTTTTGTCTTAAAACGTCTTACAATAAACTATCTTTAATATTCTGAGCATGGGGGAGTGGTAAATATTGAGACGTAGAATTCCCCTCGTTTATTAGAATAGGTATGTGTAGCTTCATACATGGAAATAAAGCGGTTAAAACCAGAAAAAAAAACTATAAAAAAAACTCCTACATTATTCAATATGTATGCTAGTATATTAATTTTTAAATTATTTTAACACCTTCTACGTCTTTTTGTTCCAGGACAACTGACACTGAGTGGTAAAACAGAGATCTGGGTGCAGGGAATGGAGGAAAATAATCAATGGAAATTTCACGACGGCACCTTGATGTCTCGTATTTGTCTCGCTGGCGAGACTAACGGCGAGAGTGAAATTCACATGAGAGCCAATAGTCATTACGATTACACATGTCATGATGCGTCTGCATCCGATGAGTTTCATTACATGTGTGAAATATATCGTTTATTTACTCATTTCCATTAAGGTACACTGGGTTTTGCTCTTCGTGTCCCTAGCAAAACCAACTTTAGTGAGTTAGCAAACAGATAAAAAAAACTTTCTTGCAATGACACAATCTCAATCTCTGAATTTGATTATATATTATATTATATGAAATTAACTTTAAAATTGTCTGTTCCTTAATCCAATGTAATTTTAACGAAATATATGATAACGTTTACTGCAAACCGTAAAAACCCAGTTTTATTCTTATTAATACTTTATCTAAATTATTTAGATGTAATCCATTACATGCAATTTGAACCTTTGTTTCTTTTAATTGTATTTACTACGTCCTTTGTTGGGTTTGTTTGTTAGATTGGTTTTAAGCAACCCACTTGCTTTTAAAGGACATTTAAAACAGTTGAATGTTATCATTATATCATCGTCATGGATACCACTTTAGAGATAACGTTTCTTTAATTTTCATTTACATAACATGAAAATTAAACAATTTTCATATGGCCAAACAGACAGTCTGCACAGTATTCCATTTTGTCCTAAATGAAACGTGATACTGTTTAGTGCCCTTTCAAACACTAAAGATCTTAAAATATTTTATCATCTATTCCTGCTTTAGTTCTAGATATCAATTGTTTAAACAGACAAGAGTTAGAAAAAGATCAAGTACATGTATGGAGGATTTACATTGTTAATACACGATTTGTTTTTAAGTATGCTGGCCTAAATGTAAACTAAGCTTGTGCAAGTTATTTGGAATGTTAATTAATCAGAGAGTAAAGTACAACAGATAGACAATTATAAGAAATCGCTATAATGTATAAAAAAAAAACAGTTTGATTTCTTTTTGTTTATCTCTGTTTTCTGATTAAAATCACGATTCAAATCGTGATGCAGAAGAGCTATGCTTTAAAAAACGGATGTCTTTCCAACCTCGTCTTGTCAACAACAATACAACATAAGAAGTCCTTGTTGATGCTTATAAATATCTTTGTGGACTCTGCAACCTTATCAGATGCTGAGTAATAAGAATCTATTATTTATAAGGTTGTATCAAAAACACTTTGCAAGAAGTCGAATGAAAGTGTTTAAGTTGAGGACAGCTATACCTTCTTCATGGATTAACCATTTTGTAGCAACTAAATGTACCTGCATTGCCTTCCCTGAATTTTTCCCAACTTTTTTTAGTTTCTTGGTATATTGATCTTTTATTTCACTTCAGATCTGCTTTGTGAATACAGTCCGTTTTGGAGTATTACTGCCATCCGAAAATATATTATTGGACTGTTGATTATTATTCTCGGACGATTACGGGTAATGTTTTAGACTGCAAGAACAATAAGCATGACGTCAAAGCAATGTTTTAATTTAAGGAAATCAGATGTTATTATTGACAGAGATGCATTGATGAAAAAAATAACTCTGCAAAGGTTTTGCTTAAGTTGTTAAAGTTAGTTTACATGTATAAAACATTAAAACACTACCAGTTATTTTCTCTTTATGACTTTAAGAACTTTTAGAGAGGCCTTAAGAATTTTTTTTATTTAAATCAAAGTTGAAATCACGGACACTTCCGTAGAACGCTTTATAATATATCTACTTCTTTTTTCTCATAAAATTGACAATCTCATCCATATCAAAAATCGCTTGCCTTAAAAGAAAAGAGAAATCGATCTATTTATATATCTCTTTCATCCTGCTTTTGAGAGCACAATTTTGAAATGAATGCTTCTATCAATAAATTATACAAAATAAATACTATGTATATACAAAGTTCAGAAATATTAAACATAAGAGTAATATTTAAGAAGACGGACTGGTTGTTCCTTAATTTCATCTTTTACCATATTTCATGTTTGTTTGGTTTTTTTCTTAAAGTACTTTTCAAAGAAAAGTCATTACGATGATTCTAGTGGTCTTTTATCAATTTATGGCACTTAATACGCTTTTTAAGTTGACAATTCAGAACGCTATTAGTTAGGGAGTTAAAGCTAGCGTCGTTGTTTATCCTACAACGTCATGTGCGCAATTCTATCCTATTCAAGCAGAATTACACTGTTTCTACACCTGTTTGAAGTGTCAACAATGGGCATACATGTTCAGCTACAATGACAAAGACAAGCTGTCTTTGTGTTGTGCTGACTACCCTGGGATTGATGTTATTAGCACAGGATGGAGTACCTATCAGCCGCGTACGTATTGTATATATCAGGCTAGTAAGCATTATATATCATGATTCAGGCTATTCTGTAGATTCCTTATTTTTCGCGAGTACTTATTATCGCAAATTGGCTCTTCAACGTCAAATCGCGAGAATAATAATTCGCGAATGGTCGATTGATCCAAAGATTTTACACAGACTTCAGCAGAATAAGAATAAAAGCGAGTAATTTTATTTCGCTTGTTGCCTCTCGAGATTTTACGCGATAATTAATTCCACGTGTATATTAAGAATCTACAGTATATGTTGAAGTAAATATATGTGATTAAGATTTTCATGTATTTCCAAAATTTTAGGAAAGTTTTATTCTGCTAAGGAAATGCGTTGTAACAATCACTTTTTGTATCAGGTTAGCTTTACGCCTGTAACAATGATTTCCTATAGTTCTTTGTCGCTGCAAAAGTCACGTGATTTAAATGGGCTGGGGCAATTCCCGGGTGAGCTGCTGTGTGAGTACATGTTGTAACACGTATATTAGAGGGCATTCGAGTTTACTGCAAGGGCCGTATATCATGCAGTATGCAACGTACAGAACCTTAGTAGTAACAAAGGGCACGGAGAGCAGACTGTGCGTTATGACGTTGGTGAAGAACGAGGACGTTTCTGAGGGTTATCATCGCCCTTCCACAAGTTCTGGGACTACAGCTGCAGAGGCGATCGGACGATTGGTGTACCTAAGTTGAAACTTCTGGTGTTGATCGAGATTCAGATAAGTCGATCTGAAAGGAACTAGAACTTAGTGCTTGTGGTTGTGGCAAACCTAGATATAAAGAACTGTGCAAGTGAACATTACAGGGCAACAATATAAAACATAATCAGATATGATTTTATAAAGAAACATTTAGTCTGTCAGTCTGTCTTTCAAGTTATAAGGTTTATTGATTTTTTTCTTACAACTATATGTGAAACAGAGGTGTGCAAGTGCGTGTGAATGTTAGTGTGATTATTTAAATATATTTTTTCTTTCATTTTGTAAATAAATTTCTATAATTGGAACTGTCTTAAGTGTTATTTGGAGATAGACAGGTTCTCAACTACCGCTCCTACCAAATGTAACGTGGTTGATCCAAATATCTAGGTTTGCCACAGTCACAAGCTCTAAGTTCTAGTTCCTTTCAGATCGATTTATCTGAATATCGATCAACACCAAAAGTTTCAGCTCAGGTACATCAATCGTATGATCGGTTCTGGGGCTGTAGTCCCGGAACTTGTAAGAAGGCGATGATAACCCTCAGAAAGCTTGACTGTATTTGGATCGTAAGCTCACTCAGCTACGTCCTCGTACTTCACCGACGTCATAACGCACGGTCTGCTCTCCATGCCCTTTGTTAGTACTTAGGTTCTGTACGTTGCATACTGCAAAATAAACTGCCCCTGCAGTAAACTCGAATGCCCTCTAATATACGTGTTACAACATGTACTCACACAGCAGCTCACCCGGGACTTGCCCCAGCCAACTTAAATCACGTGACTTTTGCAGCGACAAAGAACTATGGGAAATCATTGTTACAGGCCGTAAAGCTAACCTGATACAAAAGTGATTGTCACATACGTTTATGTGACGTTTACTGTTTTTCAGTTCGGAAATATATGTATATACTGAATTTTTCATCACAATTCACACGTTTTACACGTGTTAACTAATTGTGTTATGGTGTGATACTTTATAATATGAATTAAAAATATGAAGAGCTGCATATTTTATTCAATGGGAATATGTTTGTCCGTTAGCACATCATGTGAAGGAACAATACTTGCAAAAAACTTAATGAATAAAAAAAGATTATTTTTTAAGTAAAAAAAAATGATGCACTGTTTTCATTTTCTGAAATGAGTTGTCTATATCAAAAATAGTTATTTTTTTTTTATTTTTTCAATTTAAAATTTAAACTTGAAAATTTCCTATATATCAGTCTCGTAAATATTGTACATGTGTATATAAAAGGCTCGGAATAATTATATATACCAGGCTTGAAAGTATTGTTTTAAACAAGTAATATCAGGCTCCTAAGTATTGTATTTATACCTCATCACATTGGCGCTTTAAGATAAATAAAATTGATACATGTAAGATTTAAAAGTTTAATAGATATCAGTGTGTTGAGTAATGTAGAAAATAACCTTTCAAATTATTTAGCTAACTACTCATCAGAATTGTAAATATTCAGTAATAGTAAGTATTAACGATAACTCATGTTCGACTTCTTCTACGTTGTACCATCTAGTCATAACCTTAAGAATAACAGTTTTGAAAGCAGTATAAATATCAGCCTATAAGTAGCAACAAAAATATGAGTCCAATACAGTTCTGTTTTATCCATGAAAATAGAGATCTTTTCAATTACATTTTGTAACAAAGATCTTGATAAAAAAAAGTACATTCAAATATTCGTAAAAATTATTATGAACTTCTTTTAAAAATTAAAAAAAATAAATTGTTATTCTATTGAACTCTAATCAATTCCAAATAATAGATACATGTAGTTAAAATATGATTCTAAGCAGGAATGTTCCAGCAAATTGACAAAGATATTTACCATAAATTGTGTCATAAATTTTAACTTTTGTAGCAACATGTCCAACGGGCTATGTCGTATACCACCACACTTATATCGATATTTGTCTACTGTATGTACCAATCAAAGCTAAGTACACAATTGCCTCGTCACACTGCAAACAAAATGGCGGCGATCTCATCAAAATTGATACTTTGGAGAAATACGATTTTTTCAAATATTATTTGGGTAGGTATGACTTTTGTTTTTCTTTTATTTGCAATACTAATTTTTTATGACAGATACTATTCATATATCTTAACCATCTGCCATTTTTAGAATCATGATCCCCAATTAAAAAAAATGTTTTTAGAACAAGATGTGTTTGTGAAACACTATGCGCCCGGGGCAACAAAATTCGAAAAAGCTATTTTTAGCATATTGGTCACAGTCAAGGTCACAAGTTCATTGACCTTGGTGTCATTCGAATGAACTTGATAATGAAGTATGCATACCAAATATGAAGTCAATATTTCCAATGGTTCAAAGGTTATGGCAAAAAGTCGAAAAAACTATTTTTCGCATATAGTCACAGTCAAGGTCACAAGGTCATTGACCTTGATGTCATTTGAAAGAACTTTATTGGTGGAGTATGCATACCAAATATGAGGTCTCTATCTATTATGGTTCAGAAGTTATGGCGAAGGTTAAAGATGACAACAGAGAGACAAACAGACAAACAGATAAACAGACAAACAGACAGGACAAAAACAATAAACGCCCTGGATCTATCGATCCGGGCGCATAAAAACTACACGTGCTTAATATTCGTACTTAAGATTTTAAGTTAGATTAAGTTTTTAAAAATATATCAACGCAACTCACAATAAAATACACCTTGTTTTCCTTATAATACTATATGAAATCTCCACTTAAGTTAGATAACATACAACGCAGCACTGTTAAGGTTGAAATAAGGAGGCAGAGCCTAATTTATATGGGAAAAGTTTACTGTGACGTCACATTAAAATATGTCTTTTATGTCTTCCTCATAATACCAGAAAATGAAATAATTTGCAACTTTAAACTGCATTAGCATAATAAAAACAATAATACTTATCAATGCATTTTAAAAAGTTGCTACTTAAATCCAATACAGCTGGTTATAAACAAATCACTGATCTCGATGAACTTGTCTATCATGACGTCATTTTGTTAGAAATGACGTATTTCATGTGCTGTGAGAGGCAGATTAAGGGAAACACTGAAAATGCGTTTTATTATGAAACAGAATGTCATTTACCGATTTTGAATTAGGCTTTTAATGCCAATGTATATCCTTAGTTTAGTGCGATTATTCATTAACTACCGGGAGAATGTATTTAAATAATTTTGTTGCGTTTTTATGTTCAGGTTAGGTAAAATTTTCATCGAGGTGCCTCATTAAATCGTTCTTTTGCAAGGGTATACACTAAATAAATCTTAACCATTTTTTTAAACAGAAATAAAGAATATGTTCATTAACTTGAAAAGTGCTGCTGCTTTCTTTAAACTGAGAGGGTGACTTTATAAGTACACAAAATATTTGGTAAAAATCAAACATATTTCGACGTGGAGCTATTTACTTGAAATTTTAACTATTAAAACGTAAATTCTATTCAAAGCAGCAGCACTTTCCAAAAAGCACAAAGTATACGGAAAAAATTAATAGCTTGAATTTTTAATTTCAAATAGGGTATGCCCTTGCGATATTGAAATTTGTTAATGACCTACATGTACAATCAGTACACGTACTATGCATTCAGCACGTGACTGTCCATCGATGAGACCAAACTTTATACAGTACGGAGTAGGTTATACTATGCTATTTCCATAAGTATTTAAGTTCTGTGATAATAAAACAACTGAATAAAAATAAATTCAGTTTTTAAAAAAATCCCGTTTTTGCACTTCTATTTTCCGTTGATTTCTCATAGTAAGCCTTAACAGTGCTGCGAATGAAACCTGTCTAATCCGACATGTATGCACTGGGAGACGAATTTTGTGTCGGAATAGACAGTGTGCGGATTGAATAGTGTAAAATAACATTTAAATGAGTAAAATTGGAAAACAATTTGACGACGGAATTACATTGTAACAGTATGACGGATTACATAGGTGTCGGGTTAGACAGTTTTCACTGTATTACGTAATACATATAATGCCCTCTGTTTTAGGTCAATATACAGTAATGTTATACCCTTATAAATATCATTCTATATATAAATTACTTATAAAAAGTCCAACAAAAGAATTGTTTATTACAGCGTTCTAACAATTTCACTATTGACCGGTCTTACATAAGAATGTTAGACCGCAACGTCAATCGTCTGTTACGTTACAAGTAATTAATCATCGTTCAATATCGGAGACGCGGAAATAACCGAGTTAGGAGCTACAAGAGTTGTTGCTAACAGCAAGGTAAGGAAGAAGGTAAGAGTATGTTTAGTGATAAATAATTTTTGTGATACAATAGGTATATAATTGATTTTGTTCTTTCTCAGCTTGATGTTTTATATTTACTGAAGAAGCCATAATTTTCCATATAAAATAATTGATAATACAGCGTGTATTGATTAAATTGATCAATCTTAAGTGAGCAGTGAAGGGTATAACAAAACAGTTAGAGACTGGGATTCGGGCAACATATATTTTGTTGGACCTGATCATGAAGGTGAAAATGTTGCCCGAGGCCGCAGGCCTCGGGCAACATTTTCACCTTCAGGTCCAACAAATCATATGTTGCCCTCATACCCAGTCAATAACTGTATAATACATATACTGCCCTCTTTTTGAGGTCAAAACACAGTAATACATATACATGTACTGCCAACTGTTTTAGGTCAATATACAGTAATACACATACTGCTCTCTATATTTAGGTCAATATACAGGTAATGGCCAGTTCCAGGTTTTGGTTCAAGAAATAGAAGAGAACAACACCCAATGGAGATTCCACGATGGTACACTGATGCCTGGTCACTGTCTTGCTAGTCTGTCTGGCCTTGAGGGCAAAATTCACATGAGGGCCATGAGTAGCCTAGACTTTAAATGTCAAGACGCCTATCCCACGGATAAATATCACTTTATGTGTTAAATAATCGTGTATTTCTTAGTTTCCAGTAAGCTGGGATGTACACCCAATATCACTTTATGTGTGAAATATATCGTGTATTTCCTAATTTCCAGTAAGCGGGGATGTTCATCCAATATCACTACATGTGTGGAAAAAAATGAATAACACGAGAGATCATAATATACAAGAAAGACATTAAAACTCCATTTACACTTCCACCAGAATAAATAATTTTAAAAACTTTAAATACATGGTCTTCATGAATATAAATCTGACCGAAAAGAATTCATTTAAGGAAACAGGATATAATATTCCTTATTCAAGGAATTAAAAATTCAGAAAGTAGATATAATTACCTTATTCCGTATGCTGCAAGAATTTCATTATAAGACAAGCTTAAAATAATATTCCCTCGGGAGGGAAAAACATTGGTCAATAGATACATGCAGATGGGACTTTTTTTCTCAGAAAATTTCAGCATCAATGCTGAATTTTCAAAATATATATTCCGGAATGCTTAAAAAATAATTGTTTCCTGGAAGTTAAACTTTTTTAAAGATTTCATAAACGAGTTTAATGAATATCAAATTCAGATATTATCGTATATTTATCATGCAAAAGTTGTTGTGATTTACGCAATATAAATATATGTTATGATGGAATTTGATTGTACTTTTTATATAATCAATTAATGTTATCTAATTTTCTATTGCATATTCTGCTTTACAAATGCCCTTCTAGATTGCATAAAATATTTGTTTTTTTTTTTCAGAATATTTTATTTAAACATTTTATTTAAAAAAATAATCAAAAGTAATATTTTATTGCTTTGTTTAATCCACCAAAAATGTACAAGCTTCTTTTCAAACTTTCCCAAATGACAACGAATACTACATATTGGCCTGTATAGAATGGAATTATGAACAAGGTTCTTTTAAGATTTTGCTTTTTAAGCAGTGACAGAAATAAGACCGTTTTTTAGGCACTAGACATGACACTAGAAGTGGTTAAGCGTCTATTGCGCTGTATATCCACCATCTACTGGAATAGCTGTCCCTGTCGTATTGTCTGCTGCCGGGGAGCAAAGAAAGGTAACTAGTTCAGCCACCTGTCAAAGATAAAATAGAATGATATAAAAGATAGGACGAAAAATTGATACCAGTCGACTGGGGAGTTGCACTTCTTTATGGCACCTGACCCCACGTTAATCGATGTTTTAGGGGTTCATGTTTGCTCTGCATTAAAGTTTGTATTGTTTGATGGACTTCAGATTTTAGATACATGTTCTGTTTCTCTGTCTCAATATTTCAATTACTAAATACCTGTTTAAAAACTACAATCTGTTGAAAACTTCTTACAAAGTAGATCACATCAGTAATTATCAGTAATGAAAATAATAAATTATTATAACCTCTTGTTCACTATAATATATATGTATATTTCATATACGTGATACTTTTTCTTTCCCTGCACCATCTTTCATAGAAACCGATTAATCCTTTTGTAGAATCTATCAACTTAAATTATCGCCATAGTGGTAATTCAAAGTCTTATATTTACATGTAGCTGAAATGAGTAGAGGCGTCGGAGATAAATATATTGAACTTATTCACATTTGTTTCATTTAGTGTACATTTACGTAAACATAGCCATTTATTACAAATCACATACCTGAGAAGGTGTTGTATTCTTATTCGTAGGATTCATTCCTGCAAGACTCTCCTGAAATTGAAATTAAATGTATATATACTATATATATTTTTATATGATAAAGTCAGACAGAACTGGTTGTGGTTTTTGGCTGAAAATGTTTTTCCTGTAATATCAGACTTCTTGTTTTAATACATAAGCTGAGTTTTTAAATATGAAATAAAAAGTTTTTTTTTACCAGACACTTTTCTCGACTTTCCCCTGATTCTTTTTGCATGGACACCAGTGCAGGTTTAAGAACTACAAATTATGTGCATCAGCGTCAACATATACAAATGGAAACAAAATCATTTATGATGCATGCACATATTGTCATATCATGTTGTCATATTTGTTTTTAAATTTAATGAATGCAGCTGTAAATTGTGTGCCCCTATTCATGATAGGGAAATAACGGGAAAATCCGTCGTCAATTTAAAATGTAGATAATGCCTAGCAATAAGTACAGACCCTGAGACGTGCTACTACCCCACACGCTCGCTGCACGAACGGTACACGAACGCTACACGGTTTGCACGAAACGCTACACGGTTTGCAGGAAACGCTACACGGTTTACACGAAACACTTTTTATGTTCCTGTGTTATTATGCAAGACCGAAGCCAAGTCAACTGAGCTAGTTTTTTGATGGATTAAAATTAAAATAACAACAGTAGTGAAAGTGAAAAATTGTCATTTATTGAAGTAAATGACGCAAAACAAAATATAAACATATTATAAGGGGGGCAGACAAGACTAGAACAAACTTTGAAAGAATACAAAAATCTTTGGTAACATATTATGCAATCTGACCCCCTAAAATTACATATATCATAAAGCAGGCACTGATATGCCTGTCATCAAAAAAGGGTGGGTAAAAAGAAAATAAACGCCAAACAAATAAATATGAACACTAATATAAGTACATATATAATAAATATAATATAAGACGGTGGAAGAGAGGGGGATGGATGGAGGGTTTTTCGATAAAAAATTTCCTTGTAAATTTGTGTGGCTTTCTCCTTTGGTAAAAAATAAAACAATGGTCACGTGATTAGGAGAAGCCACGCTGATTGGCTGTAAATTAAGACAATGGTGTCATAGATTAAAATTAGGTAATTGATCCCGATCTAAAAAGTTATAAACATGAAACAACTTTACAATTACCAAGTAAAACATGATACCTTAGAAATAAATTATAACAAATAAAATAATTATAGTTAATATAACTCTGTCACATAAAGGATATTATTATTGTAATAATAATAACTTATGCACGAAAGACTGCACGGTTTATACGAAAGGCTGCACGAAACGCTTTGTATACGTTTCTCACACGCTTTTTACATGATTCTTGCACGATTTGGCCTCGGTTTGGATTTTCTACTAGGAATATCTCGGACATTATTATGGTTTTATCATTAATTAAATGGAAATCTTTCACAAAGCCACATTTAGCAGCTGTTTAAATTTAATATCAGTACACTAGTATCATATAAAGCGATAGAAATATTTAATACTCTGATAGTTGTAATTAATTAATAAATAATTGTCATTTCGTATTTATCTATTTATCCAAATGTTTAAAGACGAAATACCGATGTCTAAATGACTGTTTGATAAAATAATTTTTTTGATGTCTTAGTCATTCATTACAATGTATCACTTGCATTTAAATATTTTTACGAGTATAGTTTAATAAATTAAACAAAAAATCGATTTCTTACTGCAAGAATATGAACTCATTTATTTTAAATAATATTGATTATATTGTGTTTGATTTCCGTAGGCGGATTATTTTTTTTTGATTTTTATTTAGTAATAAAATTTGCCTATGTACTCTACTAACGATTATTGATACATTTTAAAAGAATTTTCTTATCTTATGTAAGCATTATCTGTAGGAGGGAAGCCAGTAAAGGGGAGGGGGGATAAATGTGATGTCTTAATCTATTTTTATTCTCTTTCTCTTTTTACATGAAACTTATCAAATAACATCAGTATACCCATCATACTGTAAAATCCTTCTTTTTAAAACCCGACTAGACGTATGTACATGTATATATGTGTACATTAATTAATGGTCGCGGCATTTCACTATACATCGTACATACAATGTAGATCGATCTTTACACCGGCAATCAGGTATATTACAAGAAAACTGAAATATCTTAGATGAAATAAAAAGTACCTGATTTATAAAACAAATAATATACATTTATTCATGATTTACTCCTTAACTTTTCTTACATGAGATTCATGAAAAGACTACCAAATCAGTTCTCTTTATTTTACTGTTTACGGCTAGAAATTCGGACTTACAAATAAAAGATGAAATCCGCTGATATATAAGTTGTACCCATTAAATATTTATAGAACCATTTTATTTTTTTAAAAAACCCAGTCGTAATTTTCAGGTGTCATAAAGCCGTGAACTCAGCATGTACATATAGAAAGCAAAACAGGTTTTCAGTTGGCATGCACTCGGAGCCCGTGATCGTTGTTCTAAATGACCTTGATCACAATTGAAAGGCGGAAAGAAGATTCCAACATATTTTTAAGGGGTGTATCTGCGTATATATTTAACAAAGGATTTTTAAAAAAGAATAGAATTTCAGCATTTATTTAAACTAACATTAGATTGAAAGTTACAACAAAAAATGAAAGACTGTACAAGTAATTTAATTTAAGACCCCCCCCCTCCCTCGTTTCTAAACATGTGGTCGTCAGTGCACGTGAATTAAAATTTTTATCCATTTATTTGACAGTAATGAGCAACAAATTTTATGTATGAAAAGGTATTAAATGACACATCGTTTCAACAAAACTTTCTTTCACGTACTATAAACGTAAAGACAAGAGCGGAGTCCTGATATATTTTTGCTCTAAATAAAAAAATAATACCGGTATTTCTTTCTTTCTTTGAGTAAAAATATTTAAGAAGCCATAATTGCATTGATAGTATATTGAATTCAATGCCCTTAAAATTGTTGTACACAGTTGATTAATTTGAACACATTTTCTTTAGAGGGAAAAGAAAACGAACAAATATATATTATACATTACATGTCACACGTTTCTCACACGGTTCTCGTACGCTCGCTACACGGTTTGCACGAAACGCTTTGGAGCTTACACGAAACGCTGCACGGTTTACACGAAACGCTACACGGTTTGCACGAAACGCTGCACGGGTTACACGAAACGCTACACGGATTGCACGAAACGGAAAGCACACGAAAGTCACACGCTTTTTTGGGGTAGTAGCACGTCTCAGAGTCTGTATGTAGAACGTCATCAGTCGGCATTTGACTCAATGACAAATTGTATTTGCTGACAAGGCCATTGTACTGACCATTGAGCTTACGAAAGGATGACTTTAAACGAAACTGCTGATATTCTTGTTTCAACTTCTTTGTCAATATTTTACCTCGTTTTAGAAATTGTACATACGTAAAGCATGCTCTTGCATATCGAATCAATTTAGAGATGTAGACTACGTGTGCCGATGATGAAAGTATATTGCTGCATAAGAAAGGGATGTCAACGATTGAAAGTTAGCCATCACGTCTAACAAGGAGCTTGGTTGTTAGGTTACCATTAAGGTCTTTTTCAAGTAAAATAACGTTTATATATTTAATCCAACGATCCTCATTTCATAATGAACGTTTTTCCTATTTTGCTCTCTTTTTCATTCAATTAAAATTGGGAATGAAGGGAAAATCATAACATTTGGAACACTGTCATTCGATTTGTAAAACTTACAGTTGGTATCCATTAAAGAAGGACAAATGCTGTTACATGTCACTCCGTGTGGCGCTCCCTCTACTGCAATAGCCTTGTTATAAACAAAAATGAAATTCAACAATCGACAGATTTTATTTTCATTTTCCATTAAAATGGGAAAACAGACGTAAGGATTGATAAATAAATGTAATTCGTTTCTTTTCTTACATGTCTCATTTTTGTTTTAAAATTAGAAAAATTGAATATTATTAATAAAGATAAATATAAATACTAATTAAACATAATCATAATTAGTGAAAATACTAGTTGTACCTGAGTGAATTCAATTATTTAATAATTTTGCTTTCGGATGATGAAAGTTAAATATACTAGCAAAATTAACTATTAATACTAATTGAAAATAATTATACTTAGTGATAATATTACCCTAGTAAGACCTATAAGTCCGGACTTTGTGGCTGCGTATCCTGTGGATTGAGTGCAACCTACTAGTCCTAACATCGACGATATGTTTACTATTCTCCCCCATCCTAATTTAAAAGATATATATATATTAATTAATAAGATACTTAACATATGTATCACTTTCCCCTACCTTTGTCTTACTTATTCTGAATTAATTTCCTCAATTACCAGGCAAAATCTGGAGGTTGAGTCATAGGATATCGAAAACTCAGAGGTTTTATTTGGGGTGTGTTCCCGTTTTGCACACATTTGATAATTAGGTATAGAACAGTAGGTGAGAAGTGTGTTTTGATAACAATTATAGTCTGATTTTTGGTTTGGATTTCCCTGGATTTACCTGTGAATACCTGAAATTAGCTTAATGTATTCTTAAGAGGTTTAATACAATTTTTAAGCATATTATCAAAATTCTATATTTATTTATGGGACAATATTTCATTCTATTGAACAACTTATTAATTATTTAATATTATTTGTTAATTAAGTCCAATTTAGTAAAAAAAAAAAAATAGAATAACTTACAATCTTTATAAAATTCTAAATGAATTAAAGATATAACAATATATCTAAATTTGAAAAATAATGCCCAAGACAGGAAGATTTTAAGATCAATAAATAAATATTGAATACACTAACTTTGTATTTATTCTCTTATTTTTCACTATAAGTTCACCTTTCACCTACTTATCAAGTATGGTATAGACTATAGCAATTAAGTAATTATCTCATCTGGTCAACTTCCCGTTTTGCACACTTTTTTAATTACATGTAATTCAAATGTGTGCAAAGCGGGAACAAACCTTATTGGGTACATTGTACTGTGAAAGCAATTATTTTTGGGTGTTATTTTTTATTGTTTCGGAGGCATGGAAAAATCAACAAAATTTTGACTACCAGGAAGTTTACTACTTCATATGCATTACTACTAAACAATATCTTCAACCACGACATCAATTCATATTTAAATTTTCTTGACTTCTCAAACTTTTGACAGGACCATACTAATTTAATATTAATTATATGTACAGAAAAATTGAAATTGAAGGCTGCATTATTTTATATTCAAAAAAGATTTTAAAAGTTATTGATTGTATACTTGATCTCTTGAATCAAGTTCATACTTTTTATTTTATATCATTTTTTTCATCATTAATTTATAAAAGCAGTTTAAAATCATATCATCATATGGAAATATTGCTTTTCAGAAATTATAATTAAAATCTGATGTAAGTAAATAGTTTCATTTTCAAAAGAACCTCGAGGTCGAGCACGGAAATAGGACCAGATCTCATCCGAAAATAAACATTTCATGACGACGTACAGTATCCGCTGTTTCTTCATTGCTATTATGGTGTAAGCATTAAAATTCTTAGTCAAATAAATGTGAATGTGAACTCCAAACAATTTGTATTAAAGGCCGTAAACAACATGTCATTTGCAAACAAGGTCATGGAATCGACAAAGGAATTTGCGAGATGTAAACTTATTTGTCAATAAGACATTTATGGGGAGTGAGGAAAGAAGACAGTTACCAAATTAGTTTTAAGAATTATTTGAACCTTCACGCTCTCTTGAATCAGTTCTTGAACACTATCGAATCATCTGGGAGAAATTACTTCATATGTAAGTAAAAATGTTTTATTGCCACATAAAAAAGAAGTTAATAGCATATTTTCTAACAATGGGCAATAGAAATTGCTATTTCATCATTGTATTAATCCATACCTTTCTTTTTCATTGAAACATAAGCGTATTTACAAAGCTGAAATGGTGCCTTCAAATTTACAGTGATTTCTTCATCAAAACTCTCCAGCGTTTTACTTCCTAGGAAGTCAGAGTGGACAATTCCTGTAAGATATAGAATAAAAAACAAATTTTATCATGTTCAGTTTTGGATCCAGGAATCTTGAAAAAGAGGGATCAGTTTGGGTAGGGTAGGGACCAGCAACCACGCCAAAAAATTCAATTTTTTTTATTTCATTGATCATTTATTTAGATTTTATTTATTTATTAGATTTATTAAATCTAATTTATACTTTGGAAACAAAAGGGACGGGGCCCCTGTCCAAGGCCCCAACAAATTCCGCCAATAATGATTACTCCTTCTTTTTTATATAAAAATTCAAATTAGGCTACTTTTAAGTAGCTCATACCATTGTTGTATTCATTTCTCGAAGAAACCTACAGAGTGCTGAGATATAGACGAATTATAATACCACATATATTCGGATGAAGATGAAGTAGTTTTAGTAATATACAAATATTGACTGGAATTGGGGGTTAGACATGTATTTAGCTAGCCACAAAAGAATGAGATATCGCCAGACACAAATATGAAAGAGAACCAATAAAATAGTATTTTTATTGAATTAAATTATCTGCATCTTGACTAAGGACCAAGTGCTTCTGAATCTTTTCCGGTCAATAGTGAAAATTGATTTACTGTCAATATTTTTAGAAAGAACTTATACAAAAATGTTGACTGTTTCTCTTTACAGAGAATATTAGGACTATTCTTCACTGAATATAATAATATTGAATTCAAGAATATGTAAATGGAATTGGAGAGATAAATTCATTTTTCAGTTTTTCAGTTATAATGGAATATCAAAAATTGATATTAAGCATTTTTATCATATAATTTTTAAGACAAGTCTAAAACCTACAAAAAATTTTTCAGTAAGCATTGGTTTATTATGTGATTATGTACAGAGGTCATATATAACTTACCTGCATTATTAACTAATATATCTATACCAGAAGGAACGGCCGAGTCAATTTTCTGACAAAGATCAGTTATGCATTCTCTCTTCAGCAGGTTGCACTCAAAATACCGAACGTCTGTTTTGCATCTGTGGATGAAATAAATTTGATTAATCATTAAAATTACAGTTTAAGCAAATTCAAGAAATTTAGCAATAAATATTGAATGCTATCATTCCATCTTTTCAATTCAAATTGATTCAATATGTAAGAACATGCTCTACGTGCGAACGACTTCTAAATCGAGGCAAGCTGTCAGCAAATAAGGTAAAGAGACAAGAGCACCATCAAACTCGCTTAAAATCAACATTTCACAAAGTCTATGGTCGATACAATAACCTTATTTATATACACAATCTATCCTAAAGGTTCATAAACCATCTGCTCACTCATATAAAATTATTTGAACCTTAATGTTTTTCCAAAAGAAATGTGTTTTATAAGTTAAACCAACACTAATATAGCATAGCTTGCATGGAAAATTGGACAACAAAGACAGATCAACTTGACAAATATATAAAAGAATAATAGACATCTATGTCATTAAGAGCTATCTCTCTTATCAGGGTATCGATGAACCTTAAGTCGAATGTTAATTTATGTTTTTTATCTGGTCCACCATTTCACACTGAATTGTCTTCGGATATTTTTTTTTCCTTTGACCGACCGTGAAAAAGAGCACAAAGTATATTTGATCGTATGATATTGGATGCTTACTCCCAAAGGAACCTGATCCAATGTTCGATTCGCTCTGCCCAAAATGTGTATGATTTCAACGAACCTTTCAAAACTACTGTAAAAGCACAAATATTCGTAGGATATTGAATTTCGTTTATTTTGTTGTTAACAATAATCAACGGAATTAAATCCAACACAAAATTGTATATGACTATATATTGAATAGGTTCGCTTTCAAAACAACGAAATTTAATGCCAACGAGACTATTCTGGATAACAAATCAAAGAAATTTTATCCCCATGAAAATTTCTGCTTCTACAATATTACTGTTCATTATATTCATATTTCAGGTTCTCAATTCTTATGAACTGATAGAAAATACTTTTAAAAATAACCTTTGGGTTAGATTCCCAATGCCATCTGCAACAGTTTCTGGATCAAAACGGTCTGTTCCGAGAATAGTACATCCAGATCGGGCTAGGGATACAGCAATTTCAGATCCCAAGCCTCCACAAATACCGGTCACTAAGGCAGTTTTCCCGTTTAGTGACATGCTAATAAAATCTAAAATAGATGTTCAACCATGTCATTTATAAATAAACAGATAAGAGGAAAACATTTAAATAAATATTCCAATCTTTATCTTAATTTTGGTGTTGTTCTGATGTAATATGTTGGCAAACAATATAATCTTAAACCACTCTTTTATTTTAGAATTGATATGAGGGGAATGTAGCGCAACATTTGACACATGACACGTGATTATGATAACATCATAACTTCATATAATGTATTCTCAATACTTTTTTGCATCATTCCAACTGAAACAATATTGGTCGTGTATGTCACCTGTCACCATAAGAACCTCATGGATATGATCTTATTTAACCTCACTTTTTAAACAAAGATATGGGGAATGTACGGATGTAGCGAGATGTTTTGCAATTCCTTAACGAACTTTTATAAAGTGAATTTACGTTTATAAGGAACTGATTTTTATTCCCAAAATTGACCTATGGTTGTCTTGCTGAAATGTACAAGTCTTCATCTTGGGCAAGATTTAAAGAATCCCTTATAGTTTGTACAAAATGCTTGGAAAAATATTTTCTTGCCCTAAACTGTCCTATTAAAAAAGCTGCTTGCAAAATACCCCTCCTACTACCTTTTTCTTACCAGTGTTTATGCCCCACTAAAATAGCAGCAGATAACTTGGATATTTACTTTAGAACGTCGAGCATTTTAACTATTCATTGCATAATTTTGAATACATTTGAAAAAGAAAAAAACTTACCACACAGGACACTCTTCCGAAAGCAATCTTGTCACTTGAACACTATATCAGTGTCGCTCGTATACAGGTTACCTTAGATGAAAATCCTTAAACTTCTTGTTTGTGAAGCGTCCACAATGTATTTTCTACTGATAAGCGTATTGATACATGTATGTTATTGCGATTTTGAAGTCGCTGCTGTTCGTAATCTCTATATATTTCATCTGAACAGTACGTATACTTTATCGAGAGCACATGTGTTTAATAAAACGATACCAATGCAAATAATGTATACAGTTATTATTTGCATTGGTATCGAATTCCTTCAATCCAGTGGGGTCAAATATTCATGCTTGAGAAATTTATATTAATTCATGAGATCCAATTTTTGTTTTGAACATGAAATGTACATAATACTTAAATGATTTTCTCTCAGTCTTTGTAACGCATTTGTTTTCCTCTAATATTTACAAGTTCGACTTGAGGTCAAACGTGACCCCCAGTATTTTCACTGCAGTCAAATGCACGTATGATTAGTGCTTGTATTTAGGGGTTTCTTCCACTGCGATTTAAATGGCTCATATTTGACAAGAAATCGATAGAGAAGGTCAAACTTTAACATTATCTTTTCAAATGAATTTCGTTTACTTAAGTGTACAACTGGGGATCACGGGATAAAAATTGGGGTTTGAATTGAAAGGATTTTTATTTACTATTTTGTGAGAGTTATTGATGAGTAAATGACACACACTTGTCACATAGGTTTATTTCCCATGAAACACAAGCTAACTAGTCTGTGTGATTTACTCACACTTATAATTCATACTTTACATAAAACCATTCCTTATATTTACAAAAAAAATTGGAATCTCAAAATTTTACCACAGTCAATAGCATGAAAATTTATGACGTTTAAAATCTAAATTCAATAATTTCCCACGATAAATCAAAGACCAAGCTTCTTGGCATCATTAGCAGCTGCTTTTTCTATAAAAATAGAATTCGTTAAATTAATTTTGCCATTGGTCATTTGTTAAATTCTTCTATTAAAGAACATTCTGAGTGTACAGATAGGCAAGAGGCAAATAAATGAAAAACAAATTAACAAGAATATGCATCTTTACACTGTTTTTATTTCGACTTAATTTTGTCTGTCCGAGGAAGCTCTGCATTAGGAAACTCTGGGTGGAATGTTTCCCAAATATTTAAAATTTGAGACATGTGAACGCGGGTTTGTTAAGGCAGCACATGGATCAGAATTCGGCGAATTAACACTTTTTTATAATTATGCAACACTATGAAATCGGAAAAGTCAAGGATAAAACTTTTACTATAATTATGTATTCTATAGAGTTCAATGGGACCTATACTACAGGAGGCACTTCACCACGACGTCACCACGTGACGTCTATAATTAGAAAATATTCCTTAATGAAAAAGTGAAAAGTTTAACACTACCCCGGGGATAATTAGTTCCAATTTATATTAATAGTTATGTAAAAACATCTCTGTACCATGAAAAGTGCTGCTAGAATCCTACTCTCATCTTATAAAAATAATTATTCAACAATTTCGGACGAAACCTTCCCAAAATTTTTACATTTTGTTCATAACATCGAAAAAAATGCATCAATTCCCGTAAACCATACGATTCTAGCAGCACTTTCCAAAAACAAAAGAATAAGAACTTTAGATAGAAACAAAAATTAAGTTTCAAGGTATGCGACGTAGTGTTCAACTTTTGCATTGTTTTTTGCTATGAACGACAGAGGAAAGGCTGATCGGCAAGTAAACATCCTCCCTGCTTTAATTTTATGAAGAAATTGCAGAATAATATTACCATACCTTATTCATACGCTTTATTCCCACAAGAAGTACACATGATATTCCTTCTAAATGCTTTTAAACTCCGATTTCTTGTGTTTGTTTACATCAATTTTCGTTACTTTTCACTTTCACTCTGCTACTGCATGCTCAACAGTTATGACGTCACTGGTTTGGTATGTAACCCCTGTGGTAATTACAGAGGCCCAGGAACGACAAAATTCCGTTGATATTATTTCTCTGCATATTTTGGTTCATTTTTACGACCTAAAATCAATCTTAGATATCGATTTTAAGAAATTTTTATCTCTAAATCTCACGTCATATAGCTTATTATGACGTCATAGCACATAGGCAAGTAGAATATTTGGTTGTAACCTTAACCTACCTGTGAAGGAAATCAAATTATATCCGTACAAGTGCTTTCCTTCTAAATCGAAGTCATTGTGCATAATTTAAAATACATCGCAAAGCATTTTCCCGAAATATTTTCTTTTCATGAATTAATTATAACTTTATTCTGTCCCCTGCTTTCACTGAACAGATTTCGTTTCCGGGCGATATATCGAGATGCCGTTGATCATGAGCTTTTGCAATTTATCTCATACGTGTTGGTGATACAGGCCGTTGGATAAACTTATGCTTTATCAACGGGTAGATGCTTTATCAATAGCACTTCCGGTTTTGACACGATCCCTCGCTTCAAGATTTTATTTGAAACTTTTATTTGTGATCCCTATTATTGCCCTAATAAAATGAATGACAAAGAGCTATAATATCGTTAAAAGCCAGAAAAAAACTCGTATATGAAAAAGAAGTGTCTTTTTTTTTTTATCAAGGAACCTGTATTGGCTACTTGAAGACAGATGTTACCCCCCCCCCTTTTAATTCGTTTTCGGAGAAAGTAAAGCCTAGCAGTTAAGTTGTTGTAATAAGATTCCTTTAACATCTTCAATATTGCTTTCTTATATTATACTACGTATGCCTACCTAGCTAGTAATGTAGGTGTAACTTACCATGGATCAACAATGAGTCTACAAGTAGGCCCCTAGCCTTGCCCCACACGTTTTGTACTGCCATCGTCCAAAGAGTTCATTTTCACGATCCTATGGTCCTTACAACTTTCATTCAGAAGTTCGATTGATGTTAAGCTCCAGCAATTGTCACAAAATGTTTTCAAATACGCAGATAGCAAAAATTCTACATTTTGAATACGATCTACTTTCTTTCGAGGGAATGTAAACATCAACGGTGCTACGTCATCAAGTTAGCCTATACGTCACCAATTTGCAATCATTCATGTAGTTTCGCAGGGCAAGTCTCAAACTTTTGTTAAAACAAAAGTCGTATGAGATAAATAGAACATCTATAATTGTGTGATTTGATATTGGCTTTATCCAACTCGTTGAAATGGTGTATATTCGTTCGGCAAGCCTCGCGAATATATACACCATTTTAACTCGTTGGATAAAGCCAATATCAAATCACACAATATAGATATCCTCTATAAATTAATGTTTTATCACAACTTGTCTAAAGAAGACCTCTAAAGAATTCTACGCCTCATGAATATATTGTATAATATATTTTTCTAAACAAATATTATAATTTGAACATAAATTATATTACAGAATTTCAAAAACTTAATCAAAATTCGAAAATTAAAGATACTTCTCTATACAATCCTATAGTAAAAGTAAAAGTGTTTTGAGATTTTCCTAAACCTTTCTATACGATGGTTCAGGTTTAAATGCTGCAACTGTTTCAGGAAAAATGCAAACCCGCGAAATCAAGTTTCGATTTTTTTTTCTGTAATGACTGCAACGTTAATACCCACTAAAACAAAACGAAGAAAGACACTTCATTGTATATATTTATATCTGTATAAATAATCATTTAAAATAGATTTTCAAACGAAATATTACTCCATTGATATCATGAATTGATATTGATTTCATCGATGGTACAGTCATTACACATTAAATTTACAGAGTTGATGTGCTCAGCGTTGCTTACTGCCTAAACCATGGTTTTCCGAAGAAATAAATGAGATGATATTCAGAGGATGTCTATTTCAACGAAATGACAGAAAGGCAATAAAAGCCTACAATAGACGTTTGCCATGAGTTCCTGCTGGTGTTTGTTCAGGTTGAACGAATGTTGAGTGTATATATACACTAGTATTGATATCAGAGATTTTTTTTAAAAAAAACTTACTTGGCATATGGCAATACAAAGGGTATACACTCTTGTATTGATATTAGAGATTTTTAAAAAAAAAAAAAAAAAAAAAAAAACATACATGGCACATGGCAATGCAAATGGTATATTTATCCTAGTGTTGATATCAGAGATAAAAAATATTATGACAAATGTTTTTTTAATGTGTTTTTAATTCTATTCAGCTGTGAAGTTTGTTATGGTTTTAATACAGTTGTACGTTTTTTATGTAGTGGTATATGAAAAAGACAATCTCAATCATAAATACTGGTTTGAAATATAAAACAGAGAAGAATACAATGGTTCACAGGTATATATAACGTCTATGAAAAATTACAAAAGGTAGGCCGGGCTATTTGTCCACTCTTCATAAACTGTTGATAACCTTTGCAAATTTTTAGTTCATTAATTTTGATTTCCATCATTTCCAAAATTGAAGTCCATATATTTAATCATATAATGAATTTTTTGTTCGTTACATTCCTCTGATGACAAGAATTTCTGAATCAAAATCCTTTTAAATAACTATTTACATATATCTGATTTTCTTCACATTACCATTGCAACACTCAACAACAAAGACATTGCCTCTGGTGTTTACACATAAATCCCATGGAGGTTTTAGAAGACCATTATCAATGAAACTAAGGAACTGTCCTTCCTGATCCAGGATGTGAATACAGTTGTTGTCACAGTCTGCTGTCAGGATCTGACTCTGGCTGTCTGTTGTGATACCAACTGGACCAAAGGTCCCCTTTGAAGAAGAGGGAGAACCTTCGTATCTAAATCGAAGTTATCCAGCCTGATTGACCACCACAACTGCTTTGTCCTTATTGTCAGCGACACAAATGTCCAAGTTTCTGTTCTCACTAATGCATTTACAGTAACCAAGTGAGAATAGAGATTTATGGTCACTATCAAACTGAATGGTTTGTTTCTTTGTAAAACCAGAGTAACGGACAACCTTAGCTTGTTCGCCATTTTCGCTGACCATAGATACCAAGATGTCTTCAGAGGAGGTAATGCAGACATTGTAAGGTTTCCACCCCTGCTTTCTAATAACGTCCTGTATCTGTTCATTCTTCACTATGTTTACTGTTTTTGTGTCAGGGTCAGAATAAACAAGATCCCCTCTCCGTGTCACTTCTATGTCACGTGCTGACTTTCCTGACTTGGTTCTAATTGATTTTAGTAGTTTGCCCTGGAGGTTGTACAGTTTCATGATATTGTCGGACCCACCTGTCCAGATTTCATCATCATTGAGACAGGTAACACTGTGTAGTAAGTATTCATTTCCAGTATTTATGCTGGTGATGAGCTGTGGTTCTTCAAGCAGTTGTGTCATTCGAGGAGAGGATACAGCTTCTGTCTTCGTGGTTTGGCCATTCTCTTCTGTTGTTATGGATAATGACGACAAAGAACCAAATAAATGAGAACATTGATCTGGATTAACATTTTCAGTAAACACCGGAACCTCAACTTTTGAATTGGATGGAAGATGGGTGAATTTTTCTGCTTCTGTCTCATATGAAAGTGATTTGGAAACTTCCTTGGATTTTAAAATATCCTCAATTTCTGATATATACAGTTTGATATCAGCAATAAGTTTCTTTGTATCATCTAGATTTTTATTCAGTGTGTCCCTATGCTGGATTCTCATCTTGTTAATTTTGTCTTTGTTTTTCTGTATAGCAATTTCAACTTTTCTTCGCCATTCTTCTCCATGCTGTGAGACTTCCGATGTAAGTTTTTCATATTTTCCGTCTATTTCTTCTAACTGGGTTTCTATATCAGAAACTCTTTCCTCCAACTTTGAATAAACCGTTTCTTGCAATCTTTTCTTTTCCTTTTCAATACCTTCATTATTTGAGTTTACTAAATCCTGTACGCTAGTAATATGATGTCTTTTATGTTTTTCAGACATAACACATTTTTGGACACGCTGGAATGTTGCAATCATCACAATACATTTCGCAGTTTTCTTCAGAATGGGTTTGGCACTGAGGGTATACAAGTTTGGATCTCCTCAAATCAATAGGAACCACATCATGCTATTTAGATGTGTCAAAGATGTGCTTTCCAACACAACCCATGCACAAATTCCTTGAACACAAATTACATAACATTTGTACAACACTGTTTTCGCAAAGGTCACATCTAATGATTTCCTGTGCACGAATGTCGGTATCCATTTTTGTAGATTTTGGATTCGATTCTGTTTAATGATACGTTTACGACTAAAATGACCATAACAATTCACAAACACTCAAATGTTTATAAAGTACACAAGTCAGAAAGAAAAAGAAAACATTGTAAATGTATGAAATTATACGTGCTTTAGCAATGAAACTCTTCTTAATCAATAACTAAAACACCCCTATTTAATCTTATCGTCATTATTATCTACATCGAAATGATATCAGTTGATTAATTAATCTGTGTGTATAAACCTGTGCATGTACTAGTAGTAAAGGACAGAGTGTACTTTAATGTTAGATTAAACGTACTGAAATGTGAATTGCTAACACAGTGTTCCACTTTTAAACATTTCAAACTATTTATACGATAGATTATGATTGTATTTATATAATATTAATATAAAGGGTAAATCAACATTAACATCATCAGTACACAAAAATATTCTGCGATTTGGAAGTGAAAGGTCGCAACAAAGTTAATTTTCCGACTATGCTTAACTCTCAATGGTCAATATTTTAATGAAGTATGAAATATTTTTTTTTCATTCAACCATGGGAGAGAATCGTATATTTTGGCCTTGGTTTGAGGCGATGAATGCTTACTGGTGTTTTTCATTCTATGTATAAGGCCATTTTTTTTTTTTGCAGACTGCATTTTTTGAGGATTTATCTTTTGCCCAATCAAGACAAGAAGCACACATTGATTGTGACCGGTAGGCAAGGGATGCTCATTGATCAGTGGCACCAGATCTTACTGCTTCTGTTTTCAGAGGTCCGTGTTTGCTGTTTTCCCGAATTGTATTCTTATGCGCACGAATTTATTTGGGGCGTATATTGTTTTTGTCCTGTCTGTCTGTTTGTCTATTTGTCTGTTTATCTGTTTGTCTGTCTGTTGTCAACTTTAACCTTTGCCATAACTTTTGAACCGTGAAATATAGAGACTTCTTGTTTGGTATGCATACTCCACTCATTAAGCACTTTCAACTGACACCAAGGTCAATGACCTTGTGACCTTGACTATGATGTATATGCTAAAAATAGCTTTTTCGAACGTTCGCCCAAACTTTTGAACCATAGGAGATAAAGACTTCAGATCTGGCATGCATACCCGTACGAAAGTTTGAGGCGGAATAGGCACGGCTTGGGCACGGCTAAGACACGGAATCAGCACGGGTTTTTAAAAAGCCGCATTTGCATGTCCAAGACACGGACACGGCTTCCGTGTCTGAAAGTGAGGAATCCTCACTCACAGAAATCCGTGTGAAGGCACGGAATCCGTGTCCCAGGGAGACGATTTTTAACTGAGGCGGGTTTTTCTTCAAATTATTTATTTATATCTCACGGCTTTTTACTGAGCATGCTCAATCATAACTTCCTTTATTTGAAAATGAAATTGGAGGGATTCATGGCCCTGAGTTAAGAATGTGTCTTTTTTTGCTCTAGTTAAAGGATATTAAACTAAGATGTCAGTTGGAATTGTATTTATGTCAGTCTGGGATAATTGCTTCACTTTTGAACTAAATGCAGTAAGTGTAATCTACATGTAGAATAAATAAGTCAATTGTTCAATTTTCATGATCTTCCAGAATTGCAATGTTGACAATGAACATGATGAAATAGTTTAGGTTTATTTGAATGACTTTAGTGGGACTTTCACTAATCCTTTATAGCTAGTATATATTTTGTGTGACATCACTGTGCTAGTGAAAGTTTTATTTAAACTAAATGTTTTCTCAGATTGTGCAAACTTAAGTAGCTACTAGATTAAATCACAATTGAATATTGTACATTATCATTAAAACCTTAATTAAAAACTAGCATGGATTGTAACTGATAAAGTTAATCTTTAACAGAAAGTAAATAGACATATTCATTTAAAATTTTTAACTTTTAAAATTCTAAAACTAAGCATTAATGTAAACAATGTGAAGTTAGTTTGATTTCAGTCACCATTTTGGCATCCAGTTACATGGGATTCTCTAATGGCCATAAAAAATGCACAGATCCCGTGACTCCTTATATGGTATACAGCAACACACGGGTTTCCGTGTCTCCATATATGGAAAAGGACACGGGTTTACGGGTTTACAGAATCCGTGAGTCCATATAAAACTAGATAACGGGTTTTGTAAAACCGTGTGATCTCATATTTCAAATGTGTCCGTGCCTCGACCACTTTAAGGCACGGCTTTCCATACATACTTTACATAGGAGCACGGAATGCTCGGGTTTTTTGCCTGATTCTTTTACTAATTAATTTGTTTCAGATACCAAAAAGGACTTGTGACCTTGACTGTAACCTATATGCCAGGAAACTGATAATTATCTTCATATTTCAAATGTTGGAGACAACGTTTTGATCTATAATCATTTTTGCCATTCTTTTACTTTACAGCATATTTTATAAAACAATAATTTTTAAAAAGTCTTCAATCAGTCTAAAATAAAATTGGAAACATTAAAATATACAACAAAAAGGATTCTTAAACATTTTACTTAAAAAACAACAAAGTTTCAGTACAGTTAAGACATGACCTACACGTATACTATAATACATCAATTGAACAGTTTGCTGCCTACAGTTCAAAGCGTAAATTATAAAAGTATCAACACTACTTTCGAAGATCTATTTACAAACTACTCGTATTTGACTGGCTATCTGTGTGCATTAAATATTCTTTCTCGATCGAGACAAAGAGTACATGGTGGGTGTTATAGTTCGGCAGGGGATGGTCACATCTCCATGGCACCAGATCCCACCTCCGAGGTTTTGGAGGTTTATGTCTGCTCTGCTCAAATTTTGTTCTAAAAATGGCTTTTGACCTTGAATACTGTTTGTTATTCATATTTTTTTCATTTAATTTTTCATCTGCTGAGATAGGCAAAAATGTGCTTGATTGATTCCCAAAGTATTTTGCCAAACAATTGGCACAAATTCAAAGACATTTTGTAAGAGTATGT